ATCTATTAAGGTGCCAAGGGACCCCTGGTTGAGTTATCTAACATTAACAAAGATTAGAACCTAGTTTTGAAGTGAATTCATTTACCATCTACTATATATTTGTTCAAGAACTCCTCTTGGCAAGTTACTTAACCTCTTTGCACCTTTATTTCCCAATGATTTTATTACATTTTTATAGATGATCTGTATTTTGTGTTTTGGTTACTGATTTTATAAGCATACTGATTTCTGGTTAGATACACCAGTAGAGAAATTCTGTGTGTGTATATATATATATATGTACACACATACACACACACACACACAATATGCCTATAGTCCTAAAGTAAATGATCAAATGAAATATCCATTCTCATCTCTCCTTCTACTTTAACTACATTACAACATTTTCTCCCTCTTAAATCAATGGTTACATAATTTGTAAATTACTGATAGAAATACATTACCTAGTAGCTGCATCCATCTGCTAGTTAGTCCCCTAGCAATAATTTTCACCTAGAGGCCAGTACTTTAAAGAAAGTCCCATAATGCCAGCAAATTTTAAACACTGGAATGATGTTGAGGAATATATAGCGCTATATTGCACTGAAAGTTAATGGTGCATTAGAAACTACCTCCATGTGGGAAGAAACCTAAAACTTTCCATGGATATCACAGAATCTTTTTGATTGTTTCCTGTTTCAGTCAGATGAGAAAGATTGACAAAGTGAGCAGAAATACAAGCATTAAAATAAAGAAAAAAATTATTGTTCCAAATGATTTCGTTTAAAAAAACTAATGCAAGGTGCTGAGAAGATCCCCTACAGAATCTTGACCAAGACTCTGGCACAAACAAACAAAAAATGATATCACTACTGTAGATTCTGGATATGATTCTAATTTATATCTATCTATGTCCCTGAGATTTATACATATTTCAAGGTTATCTTATACCACAGGAACCATATCTATCTATGTCCCTGACATTTATACATATTTCAAGGTTATCTTATACCACAGGAACCTTAATAAATGACAATAAGGCATTTACTTTGGATCTGCAATTAGCCCAGTGTATAGTGGCATAGAAGGTTGATAGTCTATTTTTTATTCATACAGATCTTTACAAAACTTGCCTGTCACTGAAACCATCCTCTGACTGGGCCAGTGACCATTTTCTCATAGTCATATGCCAAAACTCACTTGTTAGATAACTGTCATGTTGTCCTTTCTGGGGAGAATCTTACCTGTATAAATCTTTGACCTTGTCTTTGAGTGTGCTATTCCCTGGACAATGAGTTGGAGCTATAAAAATACAGACTTCTGAGAGGAAACACAAAACATAAATATAATGTGTTTGACACTTCAACATTGACTCACTGGAAGTTTAGACTTTTATTTCATTCGGAGCTGTGTTGAGCGCATAAACCTTGAGACATACACAAAGAAGATACCTAAGCATAAACACTGAGATAATGCAGACTTTAATGTGATAATGCTACTCTCTATATTGTATGAATAAACTTGGATTTTGTGAATCAACAACTACCATTTACATGCCATAGAATCATCGATAATAATATCATTGAGGTTAATGGAGATTTTAACGTTATAACTACTCACTGCACTGTATGAATAAGAATCATTTGGGAATCAACATCTCCCATTTGCTTTCTACATAATCATCAATAACAATAATGTATTTAAATAGCAAGGAAAAATAAAAATCCAGTTCAAGAATCAATGTTGGTAATGATGTATGTAATAGAATATGGCTTGCTTTGACCCTCAGAGGTCTATACAAGCAACTTATTTTGATTAGCAAACTGAGCAAAACATAATGTGGAAAATATATAGACAATAGTAACCCTAATGTTAACATATTCAATACTATATGGAACCTGATTCCATCAAAAGGGTTCTGCTGATATCATAAACTGCCTTCAAGACTGAATTATACAGTCTCAGGTTTTGATAGGTGTAATATGAATGGTAATTTATTACTGCTGTGCCCACTTGTGCTTCTGAACGCTAGGTCCAGTGTTTCCATAATCAAAATTGTTTTTCAGCAGTATTATAACACTTTAGGTCGACTTTTTCAAATGAAGATTAAAGTGGGTTTTTGTGTTATTTATTAAATATATTTTGACCCGGGTAACCAAACTGATACAGATGCACAAAGCTTTTGATGTGTCTTTTTTGACCATCAGTGTGGACCCATGGAAACTGAAATCCATTTATTTTAACAGTGTATTTTTCTTGATATTGTTACTATAATGTAGCCTGGAGAATTAAAAATAAAGAATGAAGATATAGGTTGGACCTCCCTGGTCCAGTACCCTCAGGACCTGAGTGATTCCAAAAAGGGAGGTTTACAGACAAGGGGAAGTAAATTGTGACCCCTTGTTGCTGGATTCCAGGTTCTCTTGAGGGGGTTTCCAGCCTCCCAGGTGTCAGGCTCCCTTCTTGGCCGTGCTCCTGGCCCCCATCTCTGGCTCCCTTCTTCTCCCTGTTGTTGAGCACAGCAATGCTTACAGCCATGCTCCCAGCTGTACCTCTGTCCCTCCTCCCAGTTGTGGCCACTAGCCCCAACTGCACTCCCAGCCTCTGGCCATTCTGCTGCCTCTCTTCCAGCCAGTCTCTGCATCCTGCCAGACGATGGATGTTGCCACATCAGAGATTCCAGGACCAGAGAATTCCCAACTGTAGTTAAATTTTAAAATTGTCTCCGCTCATTTAAAAGCAATTCTGAAGGAATACTTGTCATGCATTTCTGTTTTAACACACCATTTTTGAGTATCGATGTTCATGCAGTCTGCTGTAAAAGTGAATTGTATAGGGGGCTGAAAGGCCACAAGCCGGTCTTCCAATCTGAGACCACAGTTGAATACTTCTATTCCAATTTAGCCCTGCCTCACCCTCTCTTTATGCACAGATTTTACAATCTTGCCCCTAGATTGCAGTCACAACCAACTACTGCAGACACTTACATACATGGATTCAATGGGATTACTTAAAACAGTAAAACTACCTCTATGTGTAAATGTCTGTAAGGTAGGGCCTCAATCATTTTCAGCATTCATGCTGTGAAAAAGGCCCAGATAAGGATCCTTTAGATTAGTGACAATGAGTTAATCTGAAAAGTCTGAAGAGACTGATAAACTCCTGGATGTCTGGATTCTAATTGGAGCCTATTTAAAATAACAATTATCTCATCTTTTACAATATTATTCTCTCTCTCACTAGAAATATAGGAACTGACATATCATGACAGATTTTTATTCACTTAGTACAATCTAGTGCATCCAGCAACAGCCTACAGTTGCATTTTCTGCAAAAATTAATAAATAATTGAAGAATAAATTCCCATGTATCAAACCAATAAATTATACCCTAAATATTTTTGTATTAAACTATAATACAAAAACTAATAACATATGTACCCTAGGTTATGAATGGTGGTCAGTGTTGCAGGTGCTCACACCAACTCATATTTTCTGGATTAAATCTCAGACAACTAGCCCTCATCTAAGCTCACCTACTCACTGGGATATTTATTTCACTGTCTCAGCCAAGACAGACATGGTAGAGATGTAGTTCTGGATGTCATTATATGGAAAACACTGTAATCCATGTCTCCTCCCAGCAGTAAAATTCGTGATGAACAGGGAACACATGACAGATATCTCATATGAGAGATCCTCTAAGAATCAATTTCTTGCTGGCTATTCCGAGAAAGATAGAAATGGAACCTTTCACAAGTGTTTTGATCAATCTCCCTTAGAGTCGACAGATATCTCAACACAATCTCATGGAAAATACTATTCAAGGCTCTAAAACACTCAGCAAGGTTACCTTATCTTTGTTGATGGCTAGGATGAGCTCTTAAACTACAACAATCAGGCTATATCTAGACTGCAGGCTTCATTCAGAAGAAGCTTTTCCAGAAGAGAACTTCTGAAAAAACTGTTTCGGAAAAAGAGAGTCTCTACACAGCAAAAGAACATAGGAAAAGTGACCTGCTTTTTTGAAAGATAGTGTCCACACTGAATGGACGCTATCTTGCATTTAAGTTGTGATTAATATGGATGGAATGGCCACCAGGGCACCTGTGTTTTTTCCTCTTTCCTCTTCTTTTGAAAGACCTCCCTCCTCCCCATCCACACACACCTTTTTCCAAAAGTGCTCTTTCAGAAAAAGGGTTCTTCCTCATAGAAAAAGGTTTGCCAATACAGGCAGTCCCCGACTTACGCGGATCCGACTTATGTCGGATCCGCACTTACGCACGGGGCTTTTCTCGCCCCAGATATCGTGGGCGGCGGGACCGCTCAGAGCACAGCGGTCCCACCACCACGTCCTCCGGGGCGAGAAAAGCTGCTCTGGGTCTCA